CCGAATGAAACAAACGTACAAAAAAATTGAATAATTTTCAGTTAAATTTTTATGATTTAAAACGTTATATATATATTTTTTTTCTAATGCTTAGGGTGTTAATAAGAAAGTATTTCGGAAATTTATAACCTTATAACGAAGAATATAAAACCATTACTTTTTATCATTGCATTGATTAAATTTTATCAAGTAAGATTACAGGATATTTAATATTACTTTATATTAAATTTATATATTATATACAATTTCTTATTATGATGTGTATTAAATTTAATATCGATTAAAATTTTAATTACGTTTAATCATGTCATTAATTTCAAACGATTTCGACAAACTTGTAATCCGACTTGCTTCTTTTATCACTCTATGCAGTAAAAAGAAAAAAAGAAAAAGAAAAGAATTTTTTTATTGTATTTTACAAATAGATTTACGATCGTGCCATACAAACAACGATTGTTATTGCTCAACAGAGGCAAAAGATAATAAGAGGAAAGCGATCAGACGAGTTCAGGGGAAAGAACAGAAAGTGTATAAGCAGTATTATCAGTTTCGATATAGCTTGTATAAACACCAAAAAAAAAAAAAAAAAAAAAATTAACGTTTCGAGTAATCGAGATCCACTTGTCGTATCTCGATGTCATCGTTTCGAAATTTATCACGATTGTGATAAAAACAAGAAGATATTATACATACATATATATATATACATATATTCTAAAGATTTTGAGAGGGTTGAATTCTAAACTTTTATCGAACATGCGACAAACGATACATGGAATTTTTAAAAGAGATATTTCTCTTAATGTTTCTTGATATTTGTTTTTTTTTTTTTTTGGCGATAATATTCATTCGATATTTTCGATCGAACGATCATAAAATCACATCATAAAATATTGAGAAATTACGAAATCGAGATGATGATATTAAAAAAAAAGTGATATATGCATATCGCTAAAAAAAAGAAAAAAAAAAAAGAAATGAAATACCAACTGCGTCCGTTCGAGATTGAAAATTTCAGCCATTCCGTTCACGTTTGTTAACTTGCTATACTATATATACAAAACATTGATATTTTCATGCGAGACGAGGAAAAGAAAGGGGAAGGGGGGCGAAAAGAAAGAAAAAAGAAAAAAAAAAAAAAGAAAGAGAGAATTATCGAAGAATTTAATTGCCGAGATTTTTAAATAAATTTCGCGGGAGGACGAAAGAGAATGGAGCTTAGGTTGTACGTGTAAATCTCAAGGGTTATAGAAATATAACAGTGATATATACATAATATATACATAAATATATCTATTACGTATACATATAATATATTTGCGTGTAAATAAATGAATTTAAGGCACACAATCTATATTTATTACTTTATTTATTCATCTTTCTCCATTTCTTTTTTTTTTTTTTTTTTTTTTTTTTTTTTTTTTCGTGTTCAAGAATACAATACAATACGTGTACAAGAATACGATAGAAAACAAAGTGAAAAAAAGTAGATAATACGAAAGGAATGAAACGTAGTTAGGGAATGTATATATTTTTTTGAATAAAGAATACTCGTATTTGAGAACTTATTCTTCTGGGTATAATTCGTAAGACCGAGAATTGTTGTCGTTCCACTTTTTTGCCAATACGACGGAGAGGTAACGTGTTTCCGCCGATTGTCAAACTTCCGTTCCCTATTTCAACCGGAAACAATGAAATTGCCAAAATCACCAGTGTGGAAGCGGCGTGTCTTCTCTAATTAATAAAACATTAACGTCAAGAATAAAATTCTAAAACGCTCGAGTTATTCCATCGAGTCGTCCCTCTCGGTTAATAAATTTTTATTATCCCTTTTATACGTTCGAAGCGAACGATTATCGACCGTAACGACGAAATATCATTAATTATTCGAGGTTTATGGATTAGTTTAGACACTTTCCTCGAATGGAAGTAAAAATCTTGTGAAAACTTTTCATTTCTAAAAAAAAAAAAATTTCAATTCTAAAACTCAAAGATTGCTGTTTCTTCATACGTTCAAGTATTCCAATTATTTACTCGATAATTATTTGTAGTAGTTAGGGTAAAGGAATGAAAGACTGGAAATATTTTCTGTGAATTGGAATCGTTTTTCGTTTTTTTCACATGATTATGAAAATTCTCTAAATATAACCTTTAAAATTTTCATCGTATATTTTGCATATTTATTTTCTTCACACATATATCCGTGAATTATATTTCGAATTTTAATGTTTCAAGAGGCGTTTCTATAGAAATCGATGCAAATTGACCGAATAGATCAAAATTAAACGCGTGGAAAATAATTTTCGTAAAATTCAATCGATCTTTCTCGATGTTTAAATTTTAATATCGAGTATACAAACATTCCAAAAGGCGTCTATAGAAATAGTTGAATAGATTAGACTGAATAGATTAAAATTAAATAATACGAAACGCGTGCAAAATAATTTTCATAAAATTCAATCGATCTTTCTCGATGTTTAAATTTTAATATCAAGTATACAAACATTCCAAGAAGAAATAGTTGACGACTGAATAGATTAAGATTAAAGAAAACGCGTAATTGGAAAATAATTTTCATAAAATTCAATCGATATTTCTCGATGTTTAAATTTTAATATCAATTATGCAGACATTCCAAGATTTCTCGATGTTTAAATTTTAATATCAAGTATACAAACATTCTAAGAAGAAATAGTTGACGACTGAATAGATGAAAATTAAAGAAAGTATAATTGGAAAATAATTTTCATAAAATTCAATCGATATTTCTCGATGTTTAAATTTTAATATCAACTATACAGATATTCCAAGATTTCTCGATGTTTAAATTTTAATATCAAATATACAAACATTCCAAGAAGAAATAGTTGACGACTGAATAGATTAAAATTAAAGAAAATATAATTGGAAAATAATTTTCATAAAATTCAATCGATCTTTCTCGATATTTAAATTTTAAAATCAAGTATCCAAACATTCCAAGAAGAAATAGATCAAAATTAAAGAAAAATTAAATTAAATTTAATCTTCGATAAATATAAAAATTCAGATATTCAGATATTGCGTTGGAATATTACGCTTCGTTATATATTTATAAGCACATATTTACAAGAAATGTAGGGCTACGCACGTGCAAATGTACCGTAATAATAATTGTTTCCTTAATTACGGCCACGGCGTACGCGTACGTAGTTCCATTTTTGCCATAAGAATCTTGATAAAAAAAAAAAAGAAAAAAAAAATGGTCCCTCGATGGCGCCAAAACGAGCGTGCAAACGAGCGAGTCGAAGAATTTTCATTGAAAATTGAGCGTGAAAGAGGAAAGGAGAGCGAGCTCAAACGATGATTAAGGAGATAACGGAAAACGAAGAATGATTCTTAATCTTTTTCGTATACAATCGGAATAATTATCCGAAGATCGAAAGTAATTGGATTATGTATCTTATCTATTCACGTATCTGTGCGAAATAATAATTATACACCCCTGAAATGATTGATACAATCGTAAATTTAATTGATTGATGGTTTTATATATATATATATATATATATATATATAACACGTTGTAATTACACGTTGGTTGGTTTGTACAAAGGAGATAACGATCGACACACCATTTACGCAATATAAGTCATAATGGAATCGTTTTCGTGATACGAGATTTATCGAAATGAAATTTACCGAACCGTGTAAAATTGAAGGGAAATAACAGTAATCAGCCGGGTGTGTTGAAACGGGACGAATAATTTTCGAATTCTTCCATCTCTCTAATCGATGATTCATTCTCTAATCGATGTACGATATCTCTCGATTATTTGGAAGATTTTTAAAAAAGAAAAAAGAAAAGAAAAAACGCGGTTCAGAAAATTCCATCGAGAAGAGTTTCGCAATTACTGTCTCCTGTACACGCGTCGAAATCACCCAATGAATCCGCCCATCAATTTCTTGTCAAGCTCGCGAAACCAGTCGCGAAACCAGATCTCTCGATCGAAGATACGCCAAGCAATAAATTTATACACAAAGTAACACGGTACGATAAACAAGTGGAAAAAAAAAAAAAAATAATGTAACCCGTTCGATTCGATTCTGAGAAATTATCAACAATAATTTCGAATAATTCAACTCTCTCTCGACGATCTCAACGTCTTCTTCTTTTTCACAATGGTTAATTAAATAATCGAAGCAAGAGGAGGAAAGTCCCGTTCCCAAGTGTGCGCATCGGTTGATCCTAAAAAAAAAAAAAAAAAAAAAGAAAGACTAACAAAGACGAGACACGAGGAAAAACACGTAGAAAAACGTCCTCTCGCGAGGCGACTACTCCTCGAACGCTTGTTGTACCAGAGAACGCGTTTAAATTCGAAAACGCGGGGAACCTCGAGTTCGTTTCGAAACGAGCGTCGAAGCGGATGGAAACGGGAAGGAATATTGACACGAATCTCCACTTTCGAAGGCAAGCGGTATTAAGCCGCGAGAACGGTGTTACCGGTGTAAACGAGAGAATCGTGGGAAAGAACGAAGAAAGAAAGGAAGGAAGGAAGGAAGGAAGGAAGGAAGGAAGAAGAAGAGGAAAAGGAAGAGAGGAAGAGGAAGAGGAAGAAGAGAGATTAAGATCGGTAGGGAGAAGGTCTCCCCTCGAGGGGAGAAGACTGGAAGCGACCGAGGATATCGGCGATGGCGTGGAGCAGCAAGGACACGAGTCCGCGAGCAGAGGTTCCCAGCGAAAGAAGGGATATCCGAGTCCCCACTATTAAATGGCTCGAGCTGTAACCGCGGAAAGGAGAAGCTACATCGGGGGCGGTAGAACACTATCCAGCCTCAGTGCAATTTCGACACTCGTCTGGCAGCCAGTTTTAGTTTTAGTAAAGAGATTGGATCGTGGAAGTGGTCGTGGAAGAGAGGTGAGAGAAAGAGAAAGAGAGAGAGGGAGAGGGAGAAAGGGGGTTGGTTGGATGGAGGGTGGTGGCGTTTGAAAGGGAAGGGAAAGATCACGAATGGGATCGTGGAAGTTTCGAAAAGATTCTGCGATGAAACTTGGGGGATCGTCCGATTAAGAATCAAGGAGAAGAGATTCTGCGTATCGTTGACAGAGGAATTCTGGGAATAGATCCCTCTAAGTTCGAAGAAACTTGAGTTGGGAGGAGGAGGAAGTTGTTGAGGAAATTAACGAGAGGGAAAAGCGAGAAAGAAGAATATATAGCTTTAAGAGGAAAATTCTTCGATGAAGATATTCCATTTTGAAGAAAAGAAGGTGTGGAAGAAGTGAACAACAAGTTAAGAGATAAAGATTATTTCGTAGTCTTTAAAAAAAAAAAAAAGAAACATTGGATCGAAGATATCGCAAGAAAACGATCGTTTTGAATATATAAAAAAAAAGAAGAAAAGAGATGTTAAGTTAGAATCGAAAAGAAGAAATTGTAAGACGTAAATAGTTTTAAAAGGAAAATTCTCCGATGAAGATATTCCATTTTGAAGAAAGGTGTGGAAGAAGTGAACAACAAGTTAAGAGATAAAGATTATTTCGTAGTCTTTAAAAAAAAAAAAAGAAACATTGGATCGAAGATATCGCAAGAAAACGATCGTATCGTTTTAATATATATAAAAAAAAAAAAAATGTTAAGTTAGAATCGAAAAGAAGAAATCGTAAGACGTAAATATAATAGCTTTAAAAGGAAAATTCTTCGATAAAGATATTCCATTTTGAAAAAAAGAAGTGAACAACAAGTTAAGAGATAAAGATTATTTCGTACTCTTTAAAAAAAAAAAAAAAAGAAAGAAACATTGGAGAGATAATATTAAATCGAAGATATCGCGAGAAAACGATCGTATCGTTTTGAATATAAAAAAGAAAAAAAAGAGCGGAGATATTAAGTTAGAATTGAAAAGAAGAAATTGTAAGACGTAAATATAATTGTTAATAGTAAATAAATTGAACAATGGAACGGAGAGAATTGTTTTTAGCGCGATAAAATCGTCTTAAACGTGTTGCGAAGAAATGAGAGAATAAAAAGATATGCGAAACCCATCTCGTAAAAACTGATTGATCGCGAGAGAAACTAATGAAGGAAGGCCATCTCTAATAGATTCGCCGTTACGATTCTATGCGAGCAACAGAGCAGTGGAATCGTTTTTTTACGGATATTAAAGCAACGCGATAATCTTTATTTTCACTCTAATTGTCGAGACACTTAACGGAGGAATTACTTCGACTTCGTAAAGAAGAAGAAGAAGAAGAAGAAGAAGGAGAAGAATAAGAATAAGAAGAAGAAGAAGAAACGCGAGGAGGAGGAGGACGTTCGAATTTTTTTTTTTATTTTCGAGGAAAGCAAATGGAGGAGCAGTGGACGGTGGAAAAAAAGTGTTCTGTTCTGGTCAGAGAATATTATTCTTTCTCGACCCTTTTTTATTTTTAAATTGAACATTTCCTGCGATTTTACTGGAGCACGAACGCGTCCACATGCGAACGCAGACAGTCCGCTTTGATCACACGCAATGACACAAGACGGATACTTATCCTTTCGTCGATTAGCGTTTGCTTGGTCTTTTAAAAAAACGACCTCTCTTCGTCCACTTGAAGATCCTCAGGCGGGTCACCGGATCGATGCATAACACGCACAGGATTTATTATATATAAGAAACGGAGAAAAACGTTACACGACATTTTACACAAAAATAAATAAACAAACTGTTCCATCCGAGACATGGTCTCGAGGAGGAGTGTAATTGGAAAGTGTGATTTCTCGGATTTTTTTTTTTTTTTCCTTTTTTAAATGCGTCAGAAGACTCAAGAGAGAAGTTGAATTGATTAAATCGCATAAATAGTGGAAAGAAATTCGAGGCAGAAGTGAAGGGGGGAGAAAAAGCAACATTCTATTCTAAGCGGAGAAAGCAGCGGCTCGAAGCGCAAAAAGGGTGGTGAATCGTTTCGAGGCTTATGAACCGTGAAATCGTTAAGAATCTTTGAATCTTTTTAGGAAGTTACATCCGTTTAGAGGTGGTGGACGGGAAAGAATTAGCGGAGCACTCGCAGACGAGATATAATATAATCTTCTGCGTTATGAGATGAAGAAGATTGTAGAAAGTCGGGAAGTTGGGAAGTGAAGCGTGTTTTATTATAATAAGGAAGAGAACTTGATATGGAGGATTTTTTTTAAACGACCATCTTTGAAAGAAGAACTTGAAGAATTTATCATTCGAGAGAGGAAAAAATTGTTTCTTTTTTTTTGATAGAAAGAAATGAAAAGCAACGATCAAGTCGAGCAATTTCTTTAAGAAGAAGAAGAAATTTCGAAAGGTGAGTAAAGATTCGATAAATACTCGAAATTTATTATTAAGTTATACCAAAAATTAATTTATTATCGATAGAATATAGACAAGTCGCAAATCGGTAGAAATTATCGAGCGAAAAGTCTAACGATCTCTCTTATCGATCGATAGAAAAGGAAAGCCAATTCGACACGGAGAAACGTCTCGAGGCAAACGTGGAATCGCTAAATTTTTCTTGTAGAACGAGATGTAAAAAAAAAAAAAAACGTCGTCGATACGAACATAAATCTTGAAAACGCATCCGATCCCCATATTTCTTCCCGCGTCTTGTACTTTCTTTCTCCAAATAGCGTGGCTTGGATGGATAGGATGGATCGATAAATTTGATCGTTTCACGCACGTTTCAGATAAACGAACCGCGACGAATCGCGTATACATTAATCGTGAATCGATGTCACGTTTCAGAAACGGAAGTTGCCGCCACTGAGCGCCGCCATTGACTCGTGAAGTCCGTCGATCGAGATGCCAATACCCGTTGTCCAAGCGAACGATCTAATAAATCGGGATCTGAAAACGAAACGAGCCCAGCCATCGCTCTAAAAACGCTCCTATCTGAAAGAGAGTCTTACTCCACCTAAGTGGGTAAGTAATCCTGAAACCAATGGCGTTTTATTGGATTTTTTTCTATTTTGAGATGGACGAAGAAAGCTTTTTTTTCTTTTTAAAAATCGAATTTAAAAAAAAAAAGGAAAGAGAGACTTAATACTTAATAACGATCCATCATCGAATAGAAGAATTCGCGATGTATCTGAACGGACGATCGATTTGATTTTATCGCGAGTGGAATACAATGCAGATATTACCTCGACGAGGGTAATCAGAATTTCATGCAGGAAATGGTCGGTGAATGATGCCACGTTGCCTGCGTTGTTTACAAACATTTTCTATTTTTTTTGTTTCTTTTTCCTTTACACGCCGCGTAATTAACGATGGTATAATTAACGCGCACTTTCGCGAGCGGTGAATAAAATGCTTCCTCTTGATGTAACAATTTACTCGTTCGACCGACACCGTTTTCGTAACACCAGTTACCCACTACTTTCCGCTCGCCGATTAAAGTTATCGATTTTTCTTTCTTTCTTTCTTTCTTTCTTTCTTTTTTTTCTTAATCGATTCTTAATCCATATTTCACGTAATATTCGCTCGATAAAAAATGAGATTCCTTTCGCGCGGTGAAAAATGAGCCGAGAGAGTATCTTCACTTTTCACGTGTTCGTCAATTATCACGAGAGCGGAGCAATTAGTAGCAGTTCCAAGAAATTCAGAGTTTACTTTTTCCTTCTTCGAGGTTGTCGTCCCTCGTTTCCTTGAAAACTTTCGTTCTCTTCACGATCGATGACCTCCCAGGGTTCACATCCACGTATACTTATCGACATGGCTTCCTTATAATATTATATATAGCCACTCCAGTTTTTAATCTCCGCGCAATAAAATAAAAATAAAAATTGCAAAATTGTTAAAATAGCGAATTAATATTATATCTCGTGTGTAATACTAGATAACGTTACTTCGTTCGATTTTTATCCGTTCGTTCAAATTCAACCGCGCTTATCGCATTTTCATATAAATTTGTCGTAATTTACATCCATATAGCGTATCTAATTGAGTAAAGAAGAGAGAGAGAGAGAGAGAGAGAGAGAGAGAGAGAGAGAGAGAGAGAGAGAGAAAAGAGCGGAGAAAAGAGGAATAAGATATCCGTGACTCCCCGGATGCGTATATCCCGTTTATCTGGTCGAACGAGAATTTTCGCAGCCCGAGGCTCCCTCTACCACGACTTCAAAAGGTTTTAATTAATTAACGCGTGCATTCTCCATGATTCTCCATTTCTCTCCTCCTGGATACCGTCTTCGTTCGCAATTTCCGCGAAGATGGAGAACGAGAACGCAGCTCGACATGCAAACCAAAACTATTTATCGAGATCGGGTGGATGTCGACCGTACTCTCGTTAAAAAAAAAAAACGTTCTCGATCGGTAACGGTGCACCGTTGCGGAAGCGCTCCCGTTCAACCGTCCACGAACGTTGCTCTTAATTATTTATTACGAGTCGGTGACGCAACTTGCGGAGAATTGTTACGAGGACACGAGGAAAATTTTAATTCGTTTTAAATAATTAAGATATACTGGCGAATAGTTTGTTCTTCGAACCTGTTCATATTTTATAACTCGTAACGTATATTGGAAAAGAGAAGAATACATTTCCTCCGTGTTTTTCTATCTCGAACGTTTTATCAACGTCACCTACGACATCTGTGGATGATTAGTGATTTTCTAGTGTTATTGTCTAGTGTCCGCCCAGAGTTGGGCATTGGTTCGTTGAAAAAGTAACTAGTTAAAAATTTCGAATAAAATTAATTCAAATTAATTACTTAAAATGCTTGAATAACATTTACTCATAGCTGTTATAATTGATTTATAATTATTCCCAATTATTATTATTATTATTACGTTTTGAACGAAAAAATTATCGAAGTAATTTTATTCGTAATTTCGACTATTAAATTTTGCCGACTAATTGACCAATCGTTCAGTCAAAGAGAAAATTCATCGAAATTAAAATATATACGTTTCCAATATCAAATATTCGTCTTCTTGGAAAGATGTGCAAAATCATAAATTACGGTCGTAAAGAAGGCTGTTGAATTTCAAGCTCTTGAACTCTCGATGAACTTTTTCCACGATCATAATTTCAAATCTGTTGATATGTAATCTGTTATCGCGATTGTTCTCCCTGGCATTAATTACTCCCTTCCATTTCTTTCTTCTTTCTTTCTTCCCTCGATCGTGATGCTCAAAGGGGCACGCGTCGAAACGAAGCGAGGTCGACAAGCTTTGTGTCGTTTGCCAACAGATGGGAAAGGTATCTATGGCCGTAAGAAGTGCCGCTATGTCCCACATCGAGCTACCTACTACGATTCTGGGTCGGTGTGACCACGTTCTCTTATTATATCGCGTGCACACCTTCCGGGAGGTGGTTCCTGAGAACCTTCTTTTTCTTCACCCTTCGCCCATTCGTGCTTCTTGTGTCGTTCGCCAATCAAAACTCTTTCACGTCACATCTTGAAAACCCATCTTCATTGGCCTGAATACGATTTCCATCTCTTTATAAATATTATTCGAGCAATTTTGTTTTTCGATCGAATGATTAAAAATAGTAGTTAAAAAGAGAAATAAAATATGTACACGTTGAAATGTTACTTTTTATTCGAACGAACGAGTTGAAATTGATTAGCGAAAAGATATGTACTTACGTTTTTCTACTAGCATCTACCTTGCGAGAGATATAAATTCGTAGATTCTCAACTCGTTTTACTCGTTAGGTAATGGTAATCACGTTTATCCTTTTTTTTTTTTTATTATTCGAAGAAAATGTCGATTTAAACGTGATAATGGCGATGTTTTATGCTACATTCTCCTCTTCTCTGATTTCAAGAAAGATATCCTCATGAAAACATAAACTTATTTCTTTTTTTTTTTTCCGTTCGTTCGAGATCATTATCCTGTGGTAATATTCTTAAAAATCGAGGAAAGAATATCGATCGTTTATTAAAGTAATTATAATACAATAAATGGAATACAAATTTCACCCGATCTCTCCACCCAATTTCTTACCTCTAACGAACAAATTCAACTTCTCCTCCAATTCATTTCCACGATAAGTTTTTAATACATTCTTTCCTCTCTTCTCTCCTTCATATATTAAGCCGTAAAAGGAAGTAATCGAGCGTCGTCTCTCGATCCGCTCGATGGCGCTCGTGTAGGAAATACGTTTTTTCCCCCAACCTCTCCTCACTATGTTGTCGTGTTCACGCGTTCTTCGTTTTACCTCAATGATTCTATTCGTACTCGTTTGTCGTCCGGGACAAGTTTTCTCCATGTTATTTATACAACGAATTACCCTCTTATCCGTATATATATATATATATATATATACACGTTACTTCGATATAAATTTTCCGTAAGATGGAACAAGGTAGTTGTTCCATCCATGTTTAAATTGTTCGAAATATATCCACGCGTGGAGCTGTTGTCGCGTTTCTTGCGCTTTCTTGTATATCTCGAAGCCATTAACGAACCAAGTGGATCAACGTGGTATGCGTTGAATTTGTTTGATGGTTTAAAAAAAAGAAAAAAGATCGCATACGTGTTCAACGATCTTTATCTTCGATGAATGTTCCCCCATCTTCCTCTTGGAACCGGTTTGGTTGCCGGGATCACAAAAGCGCGTCGGTATGCGTATCGTGATTCGTTTTTCTCTCGATTCTGGGCTAAGAGATGCATCGCGCGTGGCTGTAATTACTGTAAAAAAGGAATAGGAAAGAGGTAAAGGAGGGAGATAGAGCGGGGTTAATCGCGTTGAAAATTTATTCGAAAGTTTCGTCGTCGAGCTTCTGTCGTCGTGTTCCTTTTAACTTCGAAATAATCGAATCTCATCTTTTTTCTATTTTCCGAGAAAGCGTTTGAATTTCTTGGGGATCGTGGAATGTTGTGGAATCGTAAAACTACTGTTAGCCGCGCGTAACTAATCGATTAATCTTTTTTTTTTTCTTTTTTTTTTTTTTCGTTCAGGGAAAAGTACATTCGACATTTCTTTTCTCGGATATCATCAAATTCGATGTTTAAAACTCATTACTCGTTGTTCGAGAATGAATTTAAATCTTTATGCTTTAAACGTGTTTTATTCGTACTCGAAATCTTTCAAATTTAAAAATGCGAATATATAACGATAAGGATACGATATAATAAATCTCGAGGAAACAAATTTTCGTATTTTCATAAGAAAAGCCAAAGATGGAATTAGGAAACAAATTCTTAATGAAAATAATGTCAAAAATGTTGACGAGGCGTACTATCGCTGAAAGAACCTGTTTCAAGTAATTGAATATTCCGTTTCTAAGTAAACATTATTAAGTATTCTTTAAACTTTTTTTTGAAAATTCGTTGAAAAAAAAAATTTTTTTTAAAAATAAATAACATCGTCACAATTATTCGTGATCTTTGGAAGAGCATTGTTGCCAATGATATGATGAGTTCTAATCTTGAAATAATCTTGATTCTGCACACCGATCTTTGAGTGACCTTGACCTTCTTCATTTTTTTTTAACCTTGAAATGTTATACTTTCTTTTTTCTCGAACTTTCTTAATAAAATATGAATTTTTTTACGGCGTATCTTCGATATTCTCTTTTTACGTATATAAATTTTTTTTCTTGCAAACGAATACTTTCATTTCGTATCCTTTCCCTCTGAAAAATGAACTTTCATCGCGAACTATCGAGCAACGTGCGAAATTGCGAGATGAATTGAAAGTTAGGAATAGAATAACAAAAAGTTCGTTTTATCTTAATTCAACGGAGAAAATTTCAGATGGAATTCGTTCGTCGAACCGATATTTTATTCATAGATCTCGTTCGAGAAATGTTTCACCTATACTTCCTCCGTTCGATCCATCAGTTTTACAGAACTTTGGCAATCTATTTTCGTATAACAAAATTATCCTCTATCGATTTCCTCGTTCCACATTTCCTCCAGATTCCCGGAAGAAGAAGAAAGAAAAAAAAATTTTTCTTATTGCTCACCGTAAAATATAAATCGTGCTATTTACAGAATACTTCATTCAATTTCTCAGTACACTTTTATCGTTTAGAATGTAAAGAAAAATGATACTAAAAAATATATATTTTAAACACTGTTTACAACGTATCTCTTTATCCTTCCATCGTCAAAAAACTCTCGACCCTTTCTATCTTCGATTCCCTCGAATCTTCATTTCCTTTCGCTTCTTATCCATTAAATTCTTTATCCTCGTATCGAATCGCGTTCATCGCGAGTCACGAACGAAAGATTCAACAATCGTTCCTCTTCGTTCTCCTCTCCTTGATCAAAGTCAAATTTGTTGTCAGAGAGAGAGAGATATATTTCTTTATTTACCTTTTTTTGCTGGCCCGCTGTTACGTCATCCATGCGTGGAATCGTCGCATGGCGCGCGTACGCGCGTGCGCGTTCTTCCCCCGATTTCGCGTAGTGGGCGAATCGGAGTGCAGATTCACCCAGTTCCCGAGGTGATCGGCCAAGGTAGTCACGAGCACGCTTTTAGCATGCACAGCCGTGAAGGTTATTCAACCCGAGCGGATCTCGTTCGTAAGCAACGCGGAGTAACGGGTTCCCGATGACTCGTGCACGAGGCGCCTCTCCACCACTTGCTTCGATTACCTGCGTGCACACGCGGGCCCACAGCTCGCTCGCTTCTCCAACCTCTTCGAGTCGTGGATTCAGTCAGCCGTGCACCATTGTCGAAACATTGTCGTCCTCCTGGACGATACCGGACACGCATTCATACACTCTCTCTCTCTCTCTCTCTCTCTCTCTCGCGTCTTTTTCTCCCCCATTTTTTCATCCCAGTTTTTCATCTCGATTTCGAAAGAAAGGGAAGAACAAAGGTGTTTTTTTCTCTCTTTTTTTTCTTTTTTTTCTTCGGTATACTTCGAGTTTTTAGTATTTCGTTTTTGATCGCGTTGTGTGTTCGTTTTCTCTTGTTTCTTTCTCCTCCCACCCTTCTTCTTTCTCTCTCTTGATCGTTGATTTGGTGATTAAATGCGGCTTCCAGCAGGATTTTGAGATTCAGAAGGTAAGAAGGGGTGTGTTTGTATTATTGTTTATTTGATAAGAGGTGGGAAAAATTTGTGAACGATTTCTCTAAGACTATTGCTAAGAAATAATAATAAGTTTTCACGTTGATTAAATCAATCAAATTTGACAGGGAAGAAAAATTTCCAACCCTGTGTTCTATCCTCCTCTTCATTTTTTATCACCTTTCACCGCGATGCTCGAGATTACAGATTAAATCTGTATTATATCCAGTCAAGTCAATTCTAATCGCCGACAAGACGATAAGGATAATCATCTAAAATTCTGAAGCTGGAAAATCCAGGAAGGATCCTCATTGGGGGAGAAAATACCGTGACGATGGATTCCGTCAACGGCGGAAAAGTATTTCGACGTGTAACGGTACGCGTGTACACGCGTTGGCCGTAATCGAGGGAACGATATCCTCCACGATTGATTTACAATACAATTCGTGACATGGACGATGGCCGATTCACCTCTCGATGCGCCTACATGCAAATCAAAGGTTCGAGATAGTACTCGGTGTACCGTTACCCGGACACGAATAACCAACGACCGAAAAAGATGCAAGACGAAATGATGCTAGATGAAAACGAAAAAGTAAAAAAAAAAAAAAAAAGAAGGAAAAAGAAAATTTACGATCCTGCACGACGAGCGAGCAGCCTTGGAACGCGACGAATGTCGAGGAGGAGAGGAGAATATATACGGTTATTGGTCTTGCAACTGCGTGGAATTTCTTCTTTTTTAAAAACAATTTGAACAATTTCGAGTTTATGTTTGAAGATTATTATTCTGCTTGCTCTCGAAGGAAGGAAAAATAATAGAAAGAAAAGAGGAGACGAGGAAACATGTACGAAAGCATACACGACGAACGCATTGCTGCTCATTTTCATGCGACAGGCATCGGCACGGAGCGAACGATCCAGCCATCGAATACGAACGATCACCTCGATCGAGACCTTCGTACGCAAATCGGCCATTCTCTCTCTACTGTTGCGTTCGAAAAATAATACGTTGTTCGACCGCAGTTGCGTCACTTCATTTTATCGCCGCGGAGTGCACCTTCGTTTTCGGCCAACCTCCAAATACGTCCGATCGTTAATACATACTTGTTTCGTTAATAAACCGGCTCGAGTCCCGCGCTTCCTGTTATGAATCGCGTTCCGGTACGCGATTCTTTGAAAGAGGGAAATGCGACGAGAAAGCCGACAGCGTCGTCATATGCGTATCGATTATTGAAACAAGTTTTCTCGTATAATTCATGAAATAAATATATATGTATATAGATGATTTTATTGGATCAAATTACGAGCATTGATTTTCTTTCTTTTTTCTTTTTCAGTGCAAAAATGCGGATGAAGCTGTTAATCGTGGTGGTTCTGCTGGTGTCAGGATGGAGCGACGCCAGGCCCCAGAGAACCGGTAAGAATCGAGATTTTTCCTCGTCGATTTGCTCGACTTGCCAAGATAAAGCTTAAAGGAATATTTTATCGGGGAAATGTGCGCGGAAAAAATGGAAAGGAAAAGGCGGATCCTTCCCGGATGGAAATAAAACGATTCGATCGAATCGTCGTTTAACTCGAGCTAACCGTGTATTTATTCGGTTGTAAATCAGATAATGGAAACGTTCTCGTCGTACGCTCCCTCTCGATCGATTATTCGCCTTTTCCATTGATGCAAATTCAATTTCTTTTATTTTATTATTTTCGCAGAATATTTTGATCTCCTTTCTTTTAGAAATTTTTGTATTCGCTTTTGGAACCATGTCTATCACGTTCAATCGTTCGCCTTGTTTCTTTCAGAAAGAGAAATATATATTACGAGAAATATATAAGAAGAGAAATATATAAATTATATATTCGAACAATCGTTTCCACTCTTGTGCCAATTTTTATATCCCCCAATCGAAGGCTATAAAATTATTTCTGTATTTCTGTTTCGCCGTGTTCATCGGTTTCGTGATCGAGGAAACGCGGGGTAATTCGTGATTACGCGAGCCTAACAAGTCTGGATTGCGCCAGGAAACGTAATTTACGATAAAAATTTTCTGAACGAACGATCGATTCCCTCCGTTCGTTGCAAAATTTCATTTCGTAACGTGAAACTTTCTTCCCCCCTTTTTTCCTCCTCATTTTTCTGGATAATTACGCACGTGTTACGATCCATTGACAATCGGTTATATCCGAAGGCAAGAAATATAACGATCTTTATTAGAAAAGAATGATAGTCGAATATACGGACAATGTACTGTTTCGCTGGTGAAAAGTAGTTTCGCAAAAGGACACGAGAGGTCCTTCGCTAGGAACTTGACACTAGACGTTACTATAGTAAGATAGAAGAGTTAGATAATTCGAATGTTGAAAATTATGTAAAAATTATTTTCATTTAAAAGCTGAAACTATTTTCGAAACTATTTATAGTATGTCTAGCTTATTGCGTATATACACGAATATTATCTTAATTAAACTATGGTTTAATTATGCATATGGATGAGAAATAAAAAAATTTTTAAATCATATCGATATACGTTAGAATAACTCTGGATTCTATGTCTACGTTAATGCATCGAGATAGGTGCAAATAGTGATGGATAAAATTTAATAGTTGAAGTTACGAATAAAGTTATTTGGAGAATTTATCGTTCGCGTAATAATAATTGCAATAATGCCGAGATTATATGAAAAGAAAATCAATTAAAATAGCTACGAATAAATATTCGAATATTTTAATACGTTAAAGATAATCGTCTAAGATGAAATATTTTCAAAACTATTTATTAATATGTTTTACTCGAAAACGAAGTTACATTTATAAATTAAACTATCGAATCATAATTAATCTATGCATATTATAAGAAATAAATTTTATATCTATGCTAATATATTGAAGTTAATTTAAAATTGAAGTTACTTTGATAATTTATTGTCCAAAACAATAATAATAATCGCGAATAATTATAATGGCAAACGATCGAGATTATACAAAGAGCGAATCAATTATAAAAATTACTGAAAATAACTTTATTCGAAATTTTTAACTACTTCTTCAAAGGGTTAATGTTTCCATCTCTTTCATTTCCATTAATAAACATCAATTCGATACATCTATAATATCTTCTAATATAATCATTTTACTTTTGAATCTTATTAATTTTTCTTTTTCAATCAAATTTCAGAAAGTTCGATTCAAGCTCGTCCATCGAAGGCGAACCTCGAGGAATGGAGAACATCCGGCGTTCGAGAAGATAGCAGGTATACGTGGAATTCCGGAACTAGTACTATTAACTATCACCGCGATAATAATATCGATCGTTTTGTCGAACGTGGCGACGCGGGAAAAAGGGTGGGGGCAAAATTAAAGAACGAGGAGCACTCGAATAACGTTTGGAACTCGTCGAAATTTCGATTACAACAAAACTCGAAGGTTAACGAGCGATCGATTAGGAACGATAATTTAACCAGATTCGGAAACAAGTTTCCCCATTTTGTAATTCCATCGTCGAACGATGTTCGAATAAGATCGAGCCAGGAATTAAATTCAATCCGCAAACGCGTTCCGCCTACGAATTCGAGAATTTCGCATCCGAAGGGGGCCACAAGGAATTCTCTCGAGAGAAGGACATACCGAATTCCGATGAATAATTCACGATTCGATGATGATGATGATGGCACGACCTTGGGCCAGAATTCGGGATTCTCGAGTCGGAAGGAAGCGTTCTCGCCTACTCTTTTATCCAAGGTCGAGTCCACGACTCCGTTCGATCACGTGGCCGCCATTAAAAAGATCACCGACTCGCTGTTGGCTCGAGGTGTTTCCAAATTATCTTTCAACGAGAATAAAAACAGCGTCGAGAATCCCCTCCCATCCTCCATTTCCCCCACTCACGCTCATCAATCGTCCATCAATCGTCACTGGACCTCGAAACGGTCCAACAGGACGAAAATTCGTCGCCCATCCTCGCCTCATCTTCCGTCCAATTCGAAGAAAAAGAATAATCAAAATAAGATCGTCAATAAGAACGATTCTTTCTTCGATTCGAGCTTGAAGAATTGGCCCAACACCGGCATTCAGAACGCCGAGGATTTCCACAATTACGATAAGTACACCTCCCCCGTGGAACACGATCCGATCAAACTTGAGATCGCGCACGATCCACTCATCCGAAATTCCAGTTTCGATCATCAAGCGCCTGTTTCCCAGAGGCCGATCTCCAATCTCCAAGAAATAGTTCATTGGATGAAGATTCCTGCCTTCGTGACGAATGGTAGCAATATCGTAGAGGCCGAGCAAATCGATAATCCCGTCAACGTCGCTTTCGATTCCGTTTATCAAAATTTGGAACCGAACGAACCTTCCAATCTTCCGAATAAACTTCAAATCCCGAGACCGGGTTTCGTTTATCCCGTTCATCGTCCGAGTCACGCCACGGAAAACGTTCCAAATCGATTGGAGAACGTTCTCGATCCGTCGAGAAACAAAAGCGAAAATCCTCTCGTTCGAAATCCTCAAACCCACGTATCCCAGAACACCGTGATTCATTTCATAAATCTAGACTCGAGGAGGCCTGACAACGCGTCGAGAATACCTCCGGCACACGTCCAACCCATTTCCTCCTCCAACGCTTTCGTATCCCCTTCTCCTCCCCCCATTCTTCCGCAATCGTATCCTTCTTCGAGCACCTCGAAGCCAGGAGGCCCAAACAGGGTCCACATAGGCTTCACTTCCTACGAAGAGAGCAAGAATCCGTTATCTAACCAAAAACCTCAAACTCCTGTGGTAACTTACGACCAGAATTGTCCCACGATTCTCATAAACTCTTACACGAGGATCAACAACACGATACAGAGCAAACAGGGTTGCACGGATCTGAACATCGTCATCAATTCCCACGTGTTCAACTCGAACGTGTACAAGTCGTCCACCCCCTCTCCCTCGACCACCGACCACAGGATCGGTTCTGAAAACTATCAGAATTATCACATGGATCAGGTGGATAAATACGTTGGTGTTTCTGGACCTGTCGTCGACGATTATTATCGACCCGTTCCTATTTACCGACCCCCCACTCTCCAAAACGATCCACAAGAGAACGACCAGATTCTCGAGAACGAGCAGAACGAGGTCTCCGACTTCGAAGTGGTGCAAGATACTCAGATCAGCATCACGAATTCTGGCCAAGTTGCACAAGCTGATTCGAATTCTGTTGAGATGGTCGACCAAGCGAACGATCCTCCATCCGTTAATTCTCTCGTTCGTCCAGCTGTGGCGCCACCCGCCAATTCCAATTCAGACGCTTCCACGGGGTCCTCCTCTCTTTCTCCAGCTACCAGTCTGCCCTCTGCCAGTCTATCTCGTCCAATCGAGGACGAGGACGAGGACGAGGATTTCGATTTGTCACCAACCGGTATAATGGACTCCATAACCTCGGCCTTCGCCTATCTCACATTCGATCCTTTGCATTACGGCTTCTTCAGCTTGGCGGCTGCTCCCTTCACCGCGCTTGCGGCCGGAATCCTCGGCGTAGTTACATTTCTCTATCCTTGGTTGTTCCCTAGCTCGTTCGGTTTCGCAAGGGCCAACGATAATACGGGGAACGATTATTGGTCCGGTTTCGAGGAGGTGATTAGACAGTCTATGGAGAGGTACGGAAGAGTGAACGAGTGGAAGAGCAAGAGGAAGAAGAGGAAGAGATGAAACGAAGATCGTTTTTTTGGATCGTTTTCTCTCTCTCTCTCTCTCTTTCCTTTTTTCGCTAAGATCTTTCGAGGTCTTGGATGAAAATACATGCTGCGCGATTACAAGAATGATTCGTTTATTATTTTGTCGTTTTAATTTTTCTAAAAAGAAAAGCAACAGAGAGAAGAAAGAATTTAAATAATTAATTCGTAAATTTTATTTTATATATATATATATATATTTCATCGATTATTTATTAAGGAAGGGGAAACGGGTATTTAGTATCAGGCAATTAACCTCGCCAACGGTAGCTTTAAATCTAATGTGTTAACGAGTAAGTAAGAGAAAGTATTTTTAGTCGTTGAAACTCAGAACACGGAACAGTATTACAGATGTAACACAATCAATCTTTTGTTCGAATCACTTCTTCACGGAGAATTTCTTAGGGCATTGCTAGTACTTGTGCCAGTGAAATGTAACCTGAAATAAACCAATATGCGACAAACGAACAAATTTGCATTTTTTTCTTTTTTCTAACCACAAAATTATTCACTTTCACGTATTATTCTCATTAATACAGAGACGGGACGTCTCCTATTATTATCCTTGACGCATCGGTATTCCAATTAATAAATTTATTCCCAAAAATAATATCCTCGCTCGAAAACCCACACATTCCACGTAAAACTGGAAGTTGATGACAAAGACGAACGATTAAGAATTAACGAAATAACCAAGTTTTTTCCAAAGGTTTCGCAGTCACTCAAAGGTAAGGAAACATCGATCCCTTCGCTTCAAGATCATTTTATTCTCTCTCTCTCTCTCTCTCTATCTTCGAATCTCGCTTCAACTCGACCGACGACCGACTTAATCGAGCGATTTCGTTTCAGTATCCGAGGGAACGACACGCAACGCCGCATAAAAGATCTTCAGCACATCGATCAGTCGTTAAGAACGGTGGCCACTCAATTGTTGAACGTGACGAATGGCGAACAGCAGCCGGCCAAGATCCTCGACAACGCGATCAAGAAGGCGGCGGCGGCGATGGAAAAATCGGCGACGAGCGACGAGGTGAAAGAGTCGAGCAACGATCGGCACCCGATCGGATTCGGCAGGCCGATCAACTCCAAGTTCAGCTACTTCGAGACCAGCCATCCGGGCCAAGCCATGGCCATAACCGAGGAGGAGCTCGAGAAGGAGATGGCCTCCACGCGTCTGATCACGGCGTACAAGAATCACGCGACGACCACGGGCGGCATATCCACGTGGATCCTCCTCAATCCGCCGTCCACCACCGTGAAAACCTCGATCGAGGAGCGTAAGAGGACTAAGCAACCGATCGCCGAAACCGAGGAGGCGAGGATCACCCCTTCAACGGTGGACGCCACCGAAAGAGGGGCCACGGAGAAGGTGATCACCGTAACGACCCTCCCCGAAGAGGAATCGGCCGTTACGAGGAAATCGGTCCTCCTTCCAACGACCACGACGAGCAAGCTCGAGTCGAAATTGGAAAAGGTGGAGCAAGGCACGGAGAAAGCGTCGGAGGTTATCCAGAGCACAACAACCGTTTCGAAGATCGGCCAGGTGCCTACCGATCATTCGGAGGTTACGTACGTCAACGTTACGAGAAAGAACCAGATCGCGAGTCGAACGACTCCTAAACCGAAGATAGCCACCACGAAGACCACGGTTCTGGCTTCGAAAGCCCCGATCTCGAAAGCGCCCAATCGGCCTAACCAACAGAGCAGGCCGAAGCATCCGAACAGAAATCGGGTCGCTGTTAAACCGGACGTCGGTAAGAACGAGAGCGTTTCGGTCGGTAAGATAGAGAAGGTGACGTTCAGACCTGTCCAGATGATCGCCGTTCCGAAGAACACCGAGAAACCTATGTTCGTGACCAAGATCAAAGCGTCGATCCTGATGGACAATCAGAAGACCCAGACCACCCCTCAGACGAGCGGAAGCGCGGACATCGTCGCTTCGACGACCTCGAAACCTTCGACTTCGACCGACCACCAGAACCTGCCTCCGCCTGAGGCGCCCGTCTCGAAGCTCAAACCAGTCGGGACGAAGGTGAACAACGTGTTGAAGGTGCAGTTGAGGAAACCCGTGGACGAGACGAGGATCGAGATCGAGCCGATCAAGGTGAACGCCCCCGTGTTGAAGATCGAGAAGGTGGAGAAGGGGCAGGGTTTGGCGCACGACACCAAGATAGATCTGATGAAGTTCGATTTCAATCCCGAGCTGACCAAGATCAACGTCGATCAACTGTCCTCCTCCTCCTCCTCCTCCACCTCTTCTTCTTCCGCGACACCCTCCACCACCTCTCCTTCCTCTTCCTCCTCCTCCTCCTCCTCCTCTTCTTCGACCACCACCACCACCACCACCACCACCACGACCAAGAGGCCCAAGAGAAAGAAGAACAAGAACAGAAGGAGGAAACCGATCGCCTCGACGACCACGACCACGTCCACCACGACTGTCGTTCCCAGCTCACCGATACCAAGCTTGACCGAGGAAATCGAGCCGAGTGTCGAGATCGCAGAGGAGGGGGGTGAGAATGGAATAGCACAGGAATCGAAGATAGCGCCCGAGACGAAGGTGGGGCAGAAGACGAAGAAGAAGCCTGCCCCCTCATCTGGGATCAGCACTCAGATATACAACTTTTTGAGCCGAGAGGTGATGCCGAGCTTCGGCGTCATGTCGTTGGTGGGCCTCGGCCTGGGCCTGGCCTCCTACTTCCTCTACCCGTTCGGTGGAACCGCGGCCAGGAGGAACTACGTGGAGGTGGAGCCGAAATACAAGTACAACTTCGAGGAATACGGGGGGAATTACGGGCAGAGCGAGGAGGAGGTTCTGTCCAAGGTCCTTCAAGGGATGACCACGGACGAGGTGACCAAGGGCCACCAAGGGTCGAAGGTGTACGAGGACAATTACTACGCGTACCAGCGTTACGACGCCCCCTTCGACCATCGCCAACCGACCAACAGGAACAACGATCAGCAGCGCTACTCCTCCCCGACCTTATCCTCCCCCGTCTATCACCCCTCGGAGAACACGGCCCCGTCGCACAAGTACACGGATTATCGTTATTATTCCGACCCCTCCAGCACCCCTCCGAACCCGTACCACGACGGGACCAGGCATCGAGAGTACGTGGTCGGTCCCGGCGTTCAAGGCTCGGCGAATCGGCAATTCGTCGTCGGAAGCGTCCCGAACGCGTATCCCCCTCCCTACGAGGAGAAGATCCTCTCGAGCGTTGGAAAATTGGGGAACGGTTACGGGGGAGAGGGGACGGAGAGCAGCGGGGGGGGCCAGACGCGTACCGGGTACGACGTGACGAGTCACAACTTCAACGTGGGAGTGGGCAGCGTTCAGAATTACGGAGGCCAGATCAAGACGGCGAGGCCTGACGAGGGTTACGAGGAGGTGGAGATTACCCCTACAGCGGTCGCCGTGGAGCACGGGCCGAGGTCTCTGAGGATTAAGAGATCCGTCCTGGGACGAGAATCGTCGGGTAGGGTTAGGAGGGATTCCGTGATTCAAGTAATTCCCTCGAAACGGGAGCTGGAGGAGGAGAGGAGGGAGGAGGAGTTGAGCAACGAGATCCTCGACATTATCGACTCTGCCTTACCGGCGGAGGGGGATTACGAGGAGGACGGAATGGGGGGGAGGAGGAAGAAGAAGAAGGAGGAGGAGGTGGAGGTGGAGGACGATCTCGAGAAACGGGACTCGAGCACCGTCGTTTCTTCGACGAGGACGATCGAATCATCATCCTTTTCCTCCTCCTCGTCCTCGTCCTCGTCTTCCTCCTTGGAAAATTTCGATTCCGAGGGGGAGGCGAAAGGTACGAGCACCGTCGAGAGCGTCACGATCGATCCGACCACGAAGAAGCCAGCCGAGCAGAACGGTTTCAATCTCTTCAATTTCGTGAAGAAGATCGCCGAGATCAAGTTCCGGCTCGGTCTCACGCTTCTTAAACACGCCAGCGAGGGTTTCGCCAGATATCTCGGCCACGTGCAGAAGAGGATCAACGGGGAGGAGTGAGGCGGAGTCCTCTCCTCGGTGGAAATGGTGGACTCGAGCGACGATTCGTAGCGTCAGCTATGCTCGCGGCACGTATCCATCTTATATTCCTCGAGGACCTCGTTTCGAAGGAAAAAAAAAAGAAAAAGAAAGGAACGGAAATCGCGTCATTGACGCTCGAATCTTTCCGATCGAATCTGAAATATCTTCGTCGTTTCCTTTTTTATCTTGTATCTTCACTTTTTTTTCTTTTTCAGGAAAGAAATATTCGTTTCTGAACCGATAAAGATGTTTCCCCGATGAAGATTTTCGTCGAGAAAAAATAACATTTGTTGTTTAAGCTTAGGAACGAATATTTCCCCTTTTCTGGTGAAAATGATGAAGTTATTTTATTATTATCATCTAGACGATTCATCTTTTGTTAGCGCGTTTTACTCTAACGATAAAGATCTTTTCTCTGCGTTCTTTTTTTTTAATTTATAAATATTCTTATACGTAATTTTTAGAACGTTTAGAATTTTACAACATATGCAAGCTAATCGTTTAAACTTTAAACCGTCGGATTGGATCAAGGAACGAAGATTGGATTATTCCTGGACAACAGGAACAAGAAGCTTTAACAGTAAATAGGATTTCTCGCACGGAGTGCTAAAAAAGATGCATTCTACGATAGTTTTTTCGAAACCACCAGAAAGTTTCGAGAAAGATAAAGGTTTTGAAAGACTAGCAGCGAAAAATTCTATTCCTTTATTTTTCGAACGACTCTTTTATTCTTCGATCGGTATCTTTCGTATCGGTATTTATGCCTTTTATTTAAACCGAGCATCGAAATGTAAAGTATAAATACACACATATATATAAATAAATAAATAAATAATAAATAAGATAAATGTCTACGTGTTATCCTAACATGTGTATAAATATATGAAGAAACTTGTAATAAAAATCTATTTTTCCTATCTGCGGAACACATTTGTTTTTCGTCGAAACAATTAACAATTAAACTCGTTGCCAAACGAAACGAATCCGTATATATCGATCGATATATGTAAATAAGAGAATAGATAGACTTAAAACTATACAAATTTGTCATGTACACCACCAGTTTCTTAAACTTTAATAATTTGCTAATTTCATTTTTATATATTTCAAAAGTTGTGCCTATTTTTTTTTCCTTTTCTAAATTTTATCTCCATTTCTCCGTTTCTACGAATTATCAAGTACTTTGTTTCCCGGGATCAGTTTCTTTATCATAATCTCGTCGTGATCGAGGAGGCCCAATCCGGAATTCGTTAGATCCCTCTTTCGACGACCAAGAATCATCGGTATCATCATTGCCATTGTTGCCGGTAGTATCCCTGCAAAGTGCATGAGTTTTAATTTGAATCTTTAACTCTTAATTATTAAATTTTCGAAACGATTAATTAATAAAGATTCGATCTTGTAACACATCTTGTTACACATCAATTTTCTTTGTATCGAAGAATAATGAAGGAATTACTGAACGCTGACCGGCACTGACAGCAGCCAGAACAGCAGAGCTGGACGCCTTATTTCCTAATGTGTTTCTGATAGGTCTCTTTTTCAGGATGGTCGATAGCAACGGCTGCCTTTCCATCTCGTACTCCTTTTGACTCTGGTCCACGCTCTTGAACGTCTTTTCCACTTCCAGAAGGCCCCCGTGCGAAGTGGTCGTATTCGTGCCGTTGATCGACGGTAACACCGTCAATCTAACCTAGGTAAACGATATCTCATCAAGCGACTGCCAATTTTCCTCCTCCCCCCTTCATTATTTCTGCATATCTTTTGATCAAAGTGATAATAAGGATTATTCTTTTGTTCTCTTTTGTTTTTCTAATGAAATATCGATACTTTTCACTAATTGTTTACGCAATACTTACGCTTTGTTACGACATGCCATTGATCGATGGTAACACTGTCAATCTAACCTAATTAAATAATATATCTTATCGAATGACTACCAATTCTTTTCTCCATTATGTCTCCATATCTTTTGATCAAAGTGATAATAAGGATTATTTTTTCCTTCTCTTTTGTTTTTCTAATGAAATCTTGATGCTTTTCATCATTCGNATTACTGAACGCTGACCGGCACTGACAGCAGCCAGAACAGCAGAGCTGGACGCCTTATTTCCTAATGTGTTTCTGATAGGTCTCTTTTTCAAGATGGTCGATAGCAACGGCTGCCTTTCCATCTCGTACTCCTTTTGACTCTGGTCCACGCTCTTGAACGTCTTTTCCACTTCCAGAAGGCCCCCGTGCGAAGTGGTCGTATTCGTGCCGTTGATCGACGGTAACACCGTCAATCTAACCTAGGTAAACGATATCTCATCAAGCGACTGCCAATTTTCCTCCTCCCCCCTTCATTATTTCTCTATATCCTTCAATCAAAGTGATAACAATGATTATTCTTTTCTTCTCTTTTGTTTTTCTAATAAAATCTCGATATTTTTCACTAATTGTTTACGCTTTGTTACGACATGCCATTGATCAATGGTAACACTGTCAATCTAACCTAATTAAATAATATATCTTATCGAATGATTACCAATTCTTTTCTCCATTATGTCTCCATATCTTTTGATCAAAATGATAATAAGGATTATTCTTTCCTTCTCTTTTGTTTTTCTAATGAAATCTTGATGCTTTTCATCATTCGTTTACGCAATACTTACGTCTCGTTATTCGATTGTAACATCGCCAATCTAACCTACTTAAACGATATCTCGTCAAGCGACTGCCAATTTTCCTCCTTCCCTTCATTATTTCTCCATATCCTTCGATCAAATAATAACGATAATAACGATTATTCTTTTCTTCTCTTTTATTTTTTTAATGAAATCTCGATACTTTTCACTATTCGTTTACACAATACTTACGTCTCGTTGATCGACTGTAACATCGCCAATCTAACCTATTTAAACGATATCTCATTAAGCGACTGTCAATTTTCTTCCTCCCATTATTTCTGCATATCTTTTGATCAAAGTGATAATAAGGATTATTCTTTTGTTCTCTTTTGTTTTTCTAATGAAATCTCGATACTTTTCACTAATTGTTTACGTAATACTTACGCTTCGTTACGACATGCCATTGATCGATGGTAACACTGTCAATCTAACCTAATTAAATAATATATCTTATCAAATGATTGCCAATTTTCCTTCTCCCATTATTTCTCCATATCTTTTGATCAAAATGATAATAAGGATTATTCTTTTGTTCTCTTTTATTTTTCTAATGAAATCTCGATATTTTTCACTATTCGTTTACGCAATACTTACGTCTCATTGATCGACTGTAACATCGCCAATCTAACCTATTTAAACGATATCTCATCAAGCGACTGTCAATTTTCTTCCTCCCATTATTTCTGCATATCTTTTGATCAAAATCATAATAAGGATTATTCTTTCCTTTTCTTTTGTTTTTCTAATGAAATCTCGATACTTTTCACTATTCGTTTACGCAATACTTACTCCTCGTTGCGAGCCTTTGTTCTATTCTTACAAACGTAATTCTTTTCGATAAATCCCACCATATGTAGAAAGAACCAATTCAAAAACAGAATTTCACAAAAATTCTCTTTCTTTCAACCTTTCTTCCCCCTATATATATATATATCATAACAAACTTCTTTGATCATCTAGCCTAACCTGTCTCTTCGACGTCATCACGGCTACCGCTGGATCAGCTTCTTCCTCCCTTCTGCCCACGCTCCTCGTAACGTTCGCCGCTTGGCCCATCGAGTCTATCTTTATCGACCTCTGCCTGGACTTGGAATAGCCTCTGTTCGTCGAGAGCAGCACCCACTGGCCGTCCCCGTTCCCGGGATAACTCTGCGGATGATTGTTCACGTATTGGTAATGGGAGAAGGCGGTCGGCCTCTCGGTGCTCGGCCTAGGTGTTGGACGATCCTCGAGCCTCGTCGGAAAATCGTGCCAATCGTTTCCCTCTTCCCCCTGATATTTATCCGGATACTTGTCCAAGTATTGGTAGCTCGGTTTCGTCGGTTGCGGCCTGTTCCAATTGCTGGGGAAATTGGCGGGCCTGTTGTCGGTAATTATATCGGTGTTGATGCTTGGACGGTCCGTGTATTTGTTCCAAGAGGGCCTCTCGGGTGGCCACTTTTGAGCCTGCGTCTCCTCCGGTTTCTCAGTGTAGTAAGGGCGATTGGGCTTTTGCCACGCGGGTTTGTCGTTCTGGCTGTTCTCCGGCCAGCTCGGTTTCGGCTTCTCGTACCTGGGGAGGGGGAAGGGGGGAGAAACATTGTCAGATTTCGTTTCACATTTCAACTTAATGAAATTTGTACGCTTTTTAGAGCTAAAGAAAATTATTTTAATCTACTTTTTAAAATTTATTAAAATAAATTATTCAAAAATTTAATTCACCCGCGAAACTCATATTTTGATCTCGAATTTTTTATCGAATATTATTATTAACCATAATTTAAATTAATTTATAATTATTTAAAATGAATTCGAAATTTCATTTGAAATTAACAAATTTAATTATTATTCTTTTAAACACAATTTTAATCTATTAAAATAAAATTTATAAGTTAAGTAATAATTTCAAAAGTGTTAATAATTTATATATAATTAAATATAAATATATTAATTACTTTCACGCGATTTTAACGCATTTAACGAGAAAGGTGTAAATTTACCATGGTTTATTGTTCTCGTAGATGGGCCTGACGGAGTAATCGGAGGTCCAAGGTTTGCCCGGTTTATCCCACGGCTTCACTTCCGGCCACGGGCGTTGCGTGCTCGGGGTCGCTTGCCATTTCGAAATCTTGCTCTTCGACCACGGTATCGCCTCCAACGTGACCCAACCGTTCCTATCGTCGTACGAGTTCGCCCCGTAATACTTGTTCCTCTTTATCGTGTCGTTCAGAATCCCGCCCAACTGAAATCGTTGTTAAATCGTCGAACAATCGAGAAACAAAATAAACGAAGCAAATAAAAGAGACGATCTTACTCCATCCTCGGTGGACGTGGAATTGATCGGCTCCTCCTCGTACTTGGTGTTCTGATCTTCGTGATCGATGATCGACGATCGAACAGTGGTCTGCTCGTCCACCTCGAGGGGGAGCGGCTCGGAAGGCTTGACGATCCTGAACGGATATCTCTGGTACTTCTCGCTGCTGCTCCCCTTGATCTTGCTCGCGTACTCCTCCAAAAACTTGTTCAGCACGTCCGGGTTGAACGTGGACGCCTCGAATCCGTTCCTCGACTCGTCCTCGTCGTCGCCCCTCGTAGTCGTCGACGAGTACTCGTCCCTGCCCGCCCTCCTTGGCGTCTCGTGGCGCAGCGGGCTCGGGGTGGCCATGACCCCCTCCTCTTGCACCGCCCTCAGGCTCTCCCCCTTCGTCTTGAACAACTCGGACGCCTTCGCCCTCGCCTCGAACGAGTATCTCGGCCCGCATCGCGACTCCCTGAGCCTCGATGCGACGAGGAGAAGGCAGATCAGAGCCGAGACCCGCACGCTCCCCATCTGAAAACGTCTTGGCGAAGGGAGAATTCGTCCTAATATCCCGGTAGCCAACCTCGAAATCGATCCTCCAGATCTTCCAACTTTTCCAACAAGATCTCGTCGGCAGCTCGTGTTGGCGGAACGCGGCCAACCGTAGGATCGGGTGGGACGAAGGGCAAGGCCAGGAACCCGTTAGGAAACCACGGAGCGAGGCAACGTGGCGAGGAGTGGTGAACGGGGCCGGTACCGTCCACTTCCACCACGTTCAAGGTCCGAGATGGCTCTGTCGCCGAGACGTTGCCCTCGTTCGCTTTTAATCCAGGTCCCCACTTCCTGGATACTTGGTCCATTTTGCGTCTCGCTCTTGCCGCCACGTGCTCGCCGTACGACAAACCGTGTGCACCACGCTTGGCCACCTGGAGAACGGAGACGCGCGCGTCTCTTCTTCCTCTTCTCCAAACTCTTCTCTATTCCTCGCCTCTATCCTCTCGTCTTCGATACACACACACACACACACACACACACCTTTCGCGTCTCCTTTCATTCTTTTCTTTTTTCCTTCTTTTCCTTCTTTTTCTCTTTTCTTCTTCCTCGAGCGTCTTTCGAACAATTCTTAAGATTTTTCGAATTGCACGTTGCCGAGTTTGGGAACAGAAGAAGAACGTCGCGGGATCGGTCGTGGTTGGAAGAAGCGAGGGTTTCGTCACGCGCTAATTCACGAAGCGGCTGTGGACAATCAACAGCAAGTTTGCACGCCCGTGTTTTTCCGCCCGTGATTCGCGAGCCAGAGCTCGACACCTCCCCACGCTTTCCCCCCCCACACTCTTCTCGACGGATCCTCTTTTTGGATCCCCCGCGCATCGCCAATGTTCCTTCCATTCCAACGGATACCGACTCTTTAAAACCGGTTGCCACTCGACGCTTGCCGCATTCGATACTCGAGCAAAAAGAAAAGGAAAGAAAAGGGAAAAAAAGGAAAGGAAGGAAAAAGAAAGGAAAAAAGAAGGGGGGGGAAAGGAGAGACACGGTCGGACAATCGCCATTTTATCCCCGATTATCTCGTTCGGATCGGGAAATAGGTGCTACAGATCGAAACGAATCGTCGAATTTCGGTTTATCGATTAAGGACACGCGAGGCGATGATGATGAAAGGGGACGAGGATGACATCGACGGATCGTTTTTTCCTCTCTCTCTCTCTTTCTCTCTCTCGGCACAGAAACTCCCTTACTTTTTTTTTTTTGCTGAAACGCGAACGTTTCTTATTCGTGTATAATAAAACGCCTCCGTCCAGTTTTACGAGCAGCTTCCGGAACCGAGCGGGTCCCGGATTTTTCCCATTTTTCTGCATCCTCGACCCACAAACCTCCTCGCGGAGGAATTCGTTCGGGCCGGGATTCCGCAATCTCTCTCTCTCTCTCTCTCTCTCTCTCTCGCTCTTTCTTTTTATATATTTAGTTTTCCTCTGATTTTATTTATTTTTTTTTTATATAGATCTAGTATTTTATATAGATTTTAGCATTAGATTCGAAATAAATCGACGATCGAGAAATTTGAGGATCGAGGAGAAGAAAAGGAAAGAGTTCGTAGATCGATGGATAGATTTTTCCTTTCTTTCTTTTTTTATATAGATCGATTCTAGCATTCGATTCGAAATAAATCGACGATCGAGAAATTTGAGGATCGAAGAAGGAGAGAAAAGGTTGGGTAGACTTCCGATGGATGGATTTTTTCTCTTTTTTTTTATTTATATAGATCGATTCTAACATTCGAAATAGATCGAAAAATTTGAGGATCGAAAAATGAAAGAAGAGGGGAGAGTTGATTGGATAGATTTCTGATGGATGGATTTTTCCTCTTTTTTTTTTATTTATAGATCGATTTTAGCATTCGATTCAATATAAATTAACGATCGAGAAAGGATCGAGAAATTTGAGGATCGAGAAGAAGAGACAATTCGATGGACTTTCGATGGATGGATTTTTTCTCTTTTTTTTTTTTTTTTT